CCTTGGGATGTAATGCTAGATTATTTATTTGCTATCTTTCTATTCTTCTAAATGTATGAGATCAATCTATGAACTTTCCTCCTAGAACTGCCTTCATACTGTCCCAGAGGTTTTGATATGTTGTATCACTGTTCTCTTTTACTTCTAAGAATTTATTTCTCCCCTGATTTCTTCTGCTATCCATTCATGTTCAAAAGATCATTATTTAATCTCCAGGTATAAGAGTGGTTTCTGTTTTTTATCTCTATTTTCATTCCATTATGATCTGATAAAATGTGAGGTATTAGCTTTTTTTTATTTAGCTTTATTTAGTTGTTTTTTTTTTTGTATTTGCTAAGATTTGCTTTGTGACCTGAAATATGGTCTATTTTAGAAAATGTTGCATATGCTGATGAGAAGAAAGTGAATTCAGTTGTTCATGGATGAAATATTCTATAGATGCCTTGTAGGTCCATATTATTGTGTGTTTTAGTTTTATAGAAGTTTTATTTAGTTTTTGTTTGGATGATCTATCTAGAAGTTTGTTAAAGTTACCCAGTATTATTCCATTGTGGTCTATTTGATTCTTAATATTGAGAGGGGTTTGTTTGATGTACATAGATTCTCTGTTGTTTGGGGCATAAATATTTATGATCATTATATCTTTTTTGATGTATGATTCCCTTAAGCAGTATGAAATGACTTTCTTTGTGTCTTCTGATTAATCTAGGATTGAAATACACTTTATGTGATATGAAAATAAGAACCCTTCCTTATTTACAAGACTCTTAAGACTGGCATATTATTTTCCCATCATTTCACCTTCAGTCTGTGGATGTCTTTGCCTGTGAGATGAGTCTCTTGCAGACAGCACATTGTTGGGTACTGTTTTTTAATCCAATCTGCCAACCTATGTCTTTTGATTGAAGATTATAGGCTGTTTACATTCAGTGTTATTATTGGGAGGTGATTTATTATTTCTTGCCATTTTTATTTACTTCTAATGTTTAAGTTGGACTTGATTCTACCATAATTGACTACTGAAGTATAATTTCTCTGTATGCTGGTTTTCATTTCTTCTTCATAAAATATTTTATTGACTCTGTCTTGTAGTGCAGTCTTTCTTACTGTGAATTCCTTTAGCTTTTGTTTATCATGGAAAATTTTTATTTCATCTTCAATTTTGAAGCTTAATTTTGCTTGGTAAATCATTCTTCACTAGCATCCGTTTTCTTTCAGAGATTGGTATGTTATTCCAAGCCCTCCTGGCTTTTAAGGTCTGCGTTGAGAAATCCATTGAAATTGGATTGGTTTACCTCTAAATGTAATCAGTCATTTTTTTCTTTTGCAGCTTTTAAAATTCTATCCTTATTTTGTCTGTTAGGCATTTTCATACTAATGTGTCTTGGAATGAATCTTTGGTAATTTTGTGTATTTGGAGTCCTCTATGCCTCTTGTATTTGAGTTTTCATTTCATTCTTAATGTTTGGAAAATTTTCTAATATTATTTCATTAAAAAGATTGTGAATTCCTTTATTTGTATTTTAGAACCTTCATCTATCCCAGTGAATCTTAAATTGGCCTTTTAATGTTATCCCAGATTTCCCAAATAATCTGTTCCTGGTCTCTTAACAGCATCTCTTTATGCTCAACTTTACTTTCAAGAATATACTTTGTCCTCAAGGTCTGAAAATATCTTCAAAGTGGTCTAATCTATTGGTGATGCTTTCCATTGTTTTTTAGTTTGGTTTATTGATTATTTCATTTCAAGGATTTCCATTTTGTTCCTTTTCAAAATCTCTCTTTATTAAAGTGATTGTTCACTTCCTGTATTTTCTCTCTTATTTCACTCTTTACATCTTCTTTTAGCCCATAGGAAAGTTCAACTATGAACTTTTGAAATTCCTTCTCTGACATTTCTTCCACTGTGGTACCAATGAAGTCTGTTGCTGAAGCATCATAAGCTGCTTGGGATGGCTCATTCCCTTGCTTTTTCATATTGTTTGTATGTCTGCCCATCTATCAGTATAATCCTGATCTCTTCTATTAACCCAAAGCTCTTAAGGAAATGAAGCTCACAAAGTACTTTGGGTGAATATCAAGATAATGATATTTTAAGTCAATATGTGACGACCTCTGCTGATCCCATTATTAGCACCACTTTAAGAGATGCCATTGGGCTCTATTTACTATGATCACTTCAGAGCCAAGCCTCATTCTATTCAACCTTATAATAAAAAAAAAAAAAAGTTGTTGCAATTGTTCTCTAAATTTCCTCAAATTCAGGTATAAACCTCTAATAAAGTTCTGGACTAGGTAAAAAAAAAATATATATATATATATATATATGTGTGTGTGTGTGTGTGTGTGTGTGTGTGTATTTAAATTTAATAAACTTACTATGTAACCTTAATGAGGCCTAAAAGGGAAAAGGAAGAAAGCTTTGGCAAAAAAAGGAGAGGAAAAAAGAAGATATAAAAGAACAATTTATACCAAGGTAGAAAGGAGAAATAAATGATTGGTATTTGAGATCAGCATCAGATAATGCAAAAGGATAAGGAGCAGGTATAACCTAGAGCTAGTAAAACAAAGACAGGAAGATTGATTCTAATTAATGCTTTAAACAATTAGATGAAATACATTCAAATGGGTTGAAGGTACAGTTGGCTATTGGGTCATTCAAGTTAAGGAGTTATTTATATGATCAAAGTTGTTTATAGTATGCCATGTCTAGGTGAAGAAAATTCTTTTAGAATCTTGGTTTGGATTTTGTTGTGGGTTTGACATTTAGCAGCTGTTCATGGGTCTTTGGCTGTGGCTCTCTCCTGAGTTGCCGGGGCATAGGAGACAATTCCCTATTTGCTATGAACCTCCTACTTGCAGCTTCTGGTTTGTCAGCTCAGGGGCCTGCAGCTGACTGCTGAGAGGGTGCAGTGTTGTGGGTTGGCTGTTTCTATTATGTGCAGTAGTTCAAGATGCAGGCTCTCGGGGGTGATTGCCATGGGTCAATGTGTACCTGCTCCCCTCTGCAGGATCCTTTACGCAGTGGTGAAGATCCTGTGGGCTGTCCGTGAGTGCAGGAATTCTGGTTGTGGGTTTTCTGTGGGTGTTCTATGGTGCATAAGTCTTCGCTGCTCTCTGAGGTACTGTCGCGAAGGGTCTCCAGTGGTTGTCTAGACTCTGGTTTCCACTGACCCAAATTGTGAGTGGTGAGTGTTGATTCCCTCTGTTTACTAAGTCTGATGTGAGGTCCTGCAAGTATCCAAACAATGCCTTGTCGCTTGCCAATTGTGACCACAGGTCAGGCTCCCCACCCCCCATAAAGATGGGATCAGCCCCTTCCTGCTGTGTAGACTTGTGTAATTTCCTACTGGGTCTCTCTCACTGAATATTCAGATAGTGCTTCTTTCTGGCATGGCCCCACTAGGCCAGGGGCTTTTTCTTCCCATGGGGCCTGCCCCTCATGACAGTGGCCAGAGCCTGGTAACTCTGGTAACTCTGCTTTCCTTTGTTGGGGGCCAAAGTTGCTTTTTTTTGCTGTCTCTGAGGTGAGCAGGCAGGTGGACACTGCACAGAGCTTTCTGCTATAGCCTGGGTCACAGAGGCTGACCAGGGCTGGGTGTACTTCCCAACTCAGGTCCCCACCAGCCTGTTCCCCTGTTCACAATGCAGGGAGGACGGGGTGGGGTGGGGGGGGATCAGAAATTTTCAGCTGGTCCTTCTAAAAGCTTTTCTGGCCAGACTCTTAAAAGGTCCCACTGCAGGGGCCCTTCCCTCTGGTTTAGTTTGCAGTCATCTGGGTGTGGGAAGACCCTCCTGGTTTAAGGGGGTGACTCGTCTGCTGAGGGCCCCACAAGATGACTGCAGACCCCAGCTCAGCTTTCTCTTCACAATTTGGTTTTAAGCTGTTGGCACTGTTTTAAGGAGCCTGCTGTTATCACAGCGCTTCAAATTGTGTCTGGGTTTCCAACTGTTTTTAAGTGGGTGACCTTAAGAGATTGTCCACTGTCCCCCTTCTCTCTCTGGTGCCCCTCCCCGCTTTCATCCCCAGACTCTTGAGTTGTTTTTTTCCTACTCTGCTCACCTGCCTTCCAGTCTTTCCAGGCCCCAGACTGTGCGATATTGAGTTTTAGAGCATTTATTTTATCACCCACCTCTCAGTTCAGCTTTTCCCTGGCTGCCTCTTTCTGTGCTGGGAGGAGATGGGGACTTGATGCCTATCCCCAGTTCTGTTTTCTCCTTCCTAAAACACCTAATGCTGTGCACACACGGTTCTCAACCCACAGGCAGATGATCCTTTAACTCCTTTTCAAAAAATAAAGTAACATCATAGAATGACCATCTTTTCTTTTCCTGAGACCCCATTAAGCGTTTTTCAGTAACTAGGATCCATGCTTACCAGTAAGATTATTAGATCTAGAAAATTAGGACAGTCTTCTCTGTATTTTAACAAAATTCTATTTGATGGGAAGAATTCCATAAGTGGATGCCTATTTTAAGTTAATTCATCACTTGCTTTCAAAATATTACTTTTTTACAAGTATGCCATTGGTCAGATTAAGGGCTCCTTCTCATTGCAGGGAAAAAGCTAGAATCCATTTTATTTCTTTAAGTGAGTTGGTCTTTGCACATCCTAGTGACTCACAAATGAAACAGACCAGCCCTGAGGTCACTGTCTGGTGAGACTCCCAATGGCACCCACAGGTTCCTGGTGAAATGGCTCTATCTTGTGCAGCCAAAGGAGGCACCAGTGAGCTTCGGTAAGCACAGAGGTATCAGTAGACACCTTTATGAAGCAGGTAGATACAGCTCTAACCCACACTGACAGCAGCCAGGCACTCAAGAACCAGAATACACACACACACACACACACACACACACACACACACACAGCTTATCCAAATAAGTAGCTAAGAGCCAATCAAGTTCTTTCATTTCAAGCCTAGCATAGTCTAAATTCAAAGTGCCCTGCTAAATCGTATCAACCAGCTTTGTAGCGAAAACCTTCAGGTTTTAATTACTTTAAGGGAAAAAGTCTGGTATCCAAAGGAAGTCTCATTACAAGCTAGCATTTGTTTGGGGGTGGGAGAAGGCCCAGGAATGAGGCTGTCTTGGGGATCCCTGACCAAATCAAATCTCTCTTCATCCTTCAGAGTGACGAGACTGGTGATCCACATAATTAATATGAGCTCACACAGAAGTAAACACGAAACAATTAAACAGGAAGCCTTTAGCCAGGCAGCACACAGGTGGGGTGGGGGCAGAGCGTGGGAATTAATGGGTAACAGAGTCTGAGAAGCAGGGAGTATATTGTCTGTCATTCTGAAGCCAACTTCTGTTTCTTGCCTAAAACCAAATAGGTTTTAAAACGTTTGTCTCCACAACATCACAGGCAAGGTGGTTTGCAGCAAGTATTATACAGAAAATATTTACATTCTGGTAGTGACAGCCTGGTCAGCAATATGTAAGATAGCAAACAGAAAAACAGTGTTGTAATAAAAATAATAGTTGAATAGTCTATACTCATGAAGACTAAACTTGGAGGAACAGCAAATAGAAAACTAGTAGTGGCAAGAGGGAATGAGGGTAGGGGGTCCTTATCTACGTTTGAGATCCTAATGGGTATCAAGCCCCATGCTGAGTGCAGGGAACATGCTATCTCATTTAACAATAAGAATAGCATCAAAGGTCAACTCTCTAATATCGTCACAAAAATATTATTATTTTTGCAGAACATACAGGGTTACTAAATGGGAAATATTAAGCAACTGAAGCTCTAGATAGGGAAGAGTCTCATTTCCAAAAGATAAATTACACTGAAAGAGGAGAACACGTAATACCTACAGAATCTCTTGCTTAAAGCCTGTTGGTCTAGAAATTATTAAATTATGCTTGCTTTTCTTTTAATGTTTCAATTATGATATAAAGATAAAAGGAAAAAATTAAAATCTACTCTGCAGTTTTCTGCATTGGGAAAACAAGTTCTGATAGGATGTAAGAGTTATGGTCGGATGTTACCCGTGGGCCCCACGCAGTTCAGACTTCATTTGCAATAAGTCTGCAATAGTCGAAGTTCAAATTCCAACTGCAGAGCTTGACTGTGGGCTATGGGAAAACACAGGAGCCACCATCACCCTCAGGTGAGCCAGAGAGGAGTCCAGTCTTTCCTTGCCTGAGAAAGGAAGATTCACACCTTTGGCAGAGAACTGAAGACAGTGAGTAATACTGTATTTTAGGAACCTCAAAAGAAACACCCAAACCCCTTTGGCTGTTGTGTCTCATCGTCTCCTGGAACTTCTTCTATTGCATCATATTTGAAAAAAAAAAAAAGTCAGGCAAGACCGAGCACATGAAGAAGAGGCAGCTGGTAATTTTGCTATTGTTCTAAAACACAGCCTTTGAGGAAGGTACTGAATCATAACCCCACTTCACAGGTGAGGACACACAAATTAGCTGAGGCTGACTTCTTCAATAGGAAATAGCACAGGCAGGAGTTGAACCCAGGTAATTTAAGTCTCGTGTGTAAATTAAACCAAATTTGGCCTGGGGAGGCCTCTGTACCGGGTCCTTAAGTAAATGCAACCTAACTTGCCACACAGAGAGTGTACTTTTGTAACAATGGCTAAGTCTCAACCAATCACAGAAGCTGAGCTTGTCAGTCACAGGCAGCCCTGTGTTGAAACTGTGTTCCAATAAGGCAAGTACTTCAAACTTGTTCTGGTTCTCAGACCTGCTCCATTTGTGAATGGTTTGCTTAATTAAACTCTATTAAAATGATTTGAAGTTTTCTTTTAACACATGTATGTGTTCTTTGCATTTCCCCACCCTGGCATGTAGGTGGGATCGGTCAGATATGGATGACTGGCGCTCCATAGCGAGTCCAGAAGCCACAAGCCAATGGAAAATCAGACAGTGAAACACAGGACTCAGGCAGCAATTCCCAGCTAACATTACAGCTGACGGTCAATTAGGAAAGGAATGTTCCTTACTACCAGAACCATGTGGAGGAATGCATTCCTTCCTGAAACTTCAGAATTTCCAGCTAATCTTTTATCATCATTATTATTATTACTGTTTTATTATTATTTTCATTATTATTATATTATTTATTAATAAAGATCGATTCTTATACCTGAACCAGGTAGACCAAATTGACGTTTCCCTTCAAGATCCTACTGCACATGCTACAGATACTAACTAACTTTCTAGAAATGGGCTGAACACAATTAAACAATAAGCCCTTTGGGTTTAATGCTGATTAGGAGCCCACTTTCCTAACCCTAACTGGAAGTTCTCATGAAGAAAATGACCTAAGGTGAAATCACTACTACTATGAGTTTTTTTTTTTTTCCTTTTCTTCTTTTTTTTTTTTTTTTGGTGGTGCTGGGGATTGAACCCAGGGCCTTGTGCATGGGAGGCAAGCACTCTACCAACTGAGCTATATCCCAAGCCCAGCGGGGATAGGAAGTACAGCAGAATAAATTAGACACTAGTATTGCTGCATTGGTCATACAGTCATATGTATATGACTGTATGACCAATGTGATTCTGCAACCTGTACACTCAGAAAAATGAGAAATTATACCCCATTTGATTCAAATGTATGATATGTCAAGATTATTGTACTGTCATGTGTAACTAATTAAAACAAATTTAAAAATTTTTTAAAAAGAAATCACTGCTACTATGTTTTGAATTTCATTTTCATGTTTTCTTAATCGACATATAAAAATGCATGCACTTCTAAGGTATGGTGTGATCATTCAATATATGTATACAATGTGTAGGGATCAAATCAAGGCAATTATCATTTCCCTGACCTTACACATTTAATATTTCACTGGGAACTTTCCAAATCCTTTCTTGTTCTTCATCATGAAGTACGGTCACCCTTTTGTGCTATGGAACATTAGGATTCATTCCTCCTGATTTTTGTACCTGTCATTCACTCTCCCTTCATTCTTCTTCCCTGTATTCCTTGCAGCCTCCACTAACCCTTCTTCTACTCTCTACTTCTATGAAATTAGCATTTCTACCTTCCACGTGCAGAACCTGTCTTCCTGTGCCTGACCTATTTCACTCAACATCTCCCAGCTTCATCCATGTTACCACAAACGACAGGATTTCATTCTTTTTGTGGCTAAACAATATTGTTTGGTATAGATAGCATGTTTTCTTTATCCATTCATCTGCTGATACCTCAGTTGATTTCATATCTCTGCTACTGTGAATAGTGCTGCAATCATTGTAACAATTCAGGTATCTCTTTGATATATTGATACATCCCTGAATATATACCCAGTAATGGGACAGTTGGATCATACGGTAGTTCCACTTTTAGTATTTAGACTTCTGTCTGAGAGAAGATCTGAAATCTATTTTCCCTCAGTAAATGCCTGTGTTTCCACATTCTTATATTTTCTCATTTCGTTAATAATAAAGGTGTAAAAGGGGGGTAGAAGATAACCTCAATTAACTTAGAAAAGCTCAATACAAATGTAGAAAGCTGGATGGAATCTTCTCATGTAGCTTGCATGCTTCAAGGTCATTATCTTTGCTCCAAAATTAAGAAAGCATGTTTTATTGTCTGAAACAAATACAACTAATTCTTAAACTATAAAACAGCTTTAAAGCCATTTCAAAGGCTTGACAAGTTTAACCAAACTTCTTCAAACTCTTCTGTCACCCAAAGAGCATGCAACACAACAGGGGAACAAAATGTGTATAAAATGATTCATTCAATAAGTGCAATTGGCAAGACCCTTAATCCACCACCTCCCAGCGCTGGGGCACACCCTCCCAACAACGCAGATGAGAAACAGGAACAACGTGGAGAGGTTTTGTTCATGCAACACATCTGTTCCCTGAGTTGGATCTTGTTTTAGACTTGGGCATATAACAAGTTTTGATTCTCTTTATGCGCAGTGACAGCAGTGCAATGAATGTTGTTTGACCGTGAATTGTGTAAATACATAGACATGTTGATTTGGGAAGAGAAAACAAAGCATGTGAAAATTGGCAAAATACCCATTTCAAGAATTATAGATACTCCTCTTAAGGCAAGCACTCCTCTGGCAGACCACCCACGAGACACCATTAAAATCTAAACAACATGATAAAGAGACAATGTTCTCCAGCCAGTACGATTCCTGAAAGTATTAACTTTAAAAAGCCCTTAGCTTAATCCAGTGACCTTAAAATATCTCCTGAATCTGCAGACCCTTTTGTGTACTTAATGGAGATCCCCTTTCATACATAACATACATGAAGTGAACTGGGAGAATTAGAAAAAGCTACTAATAGTACTAGTTGCTAATATTTGCAGGGCACTTTCTATACACGAAACAAAAGTGTTATAGTACTACCTAATGTAATCCCATCATCAGCCCTAAAAAATAAATATTAAATGAAATATGTACACATTTATCAGATAAAGCAAGCCTAGGATACTGAATAAATTGAATTAAGTCAAGTAGCAAGATTCAAACTCAGACTCCTCTGATTCTGGGACATTTTTCTTTTCACTATAATGTCATGACATGTAGTATTTCTCCTACAGTAGGTATAATTAGCTTGCCATGAATCAAATTCATTATTAACAATAAAAAGAAAAACATATCCCCAAAATAAGGATTCAATTCCCAGACGAAATTTCAATGACATAATATACCAAGGAAACAAATAAGCAATTAAATTGGGCAAATGTGCACTTAATTTAAAAGAGAAAAGAGGAAAACATCCAAGAATAATTCAAAATAAATCTCTTAAACAATGAAGAAGTAATGGGTAGAGTGATCTGAGTGTTTTCTTTCTTTGGAGTGAATTCTCTGCAGAAGTCAGAAGTCTACCTGCTCTAAAGAGAGTCTAATTAAATATGGAGAAATGCTCTTTGCTCCTGTATTTCCTTGATGATCCTGGCTGCTTGTGATCATGCATCTTGCTTTCCATCTGCACTTAGTATCTGAATGACTCAGGCTTCTTTACATTGTATCATTAATTCCTCTTTATATTCTTACCTCCTTTGTACCTCTTTGTAAGTCCCATATGCTTTGCACATAATAAGTGTTCAAATAACTTGGTTGAATTCAGGGGAAGACTTTGGCCACTGAGATTTGGACTCACCAAATCTGACTAAAGGGTAGCATAATGTTTATGATTACCTCTGCAACCTTCAAGTCTTTTTGCAATGCAACTTGTATTTTCAGCA